GGAACAAAAACAGAAGTTGCTGGGAAAGCTCAGCAGGTCTGGCAGCACCTGTGAAGAAAAAATCAGAGTTAACGTTTTGGGACCGGTGACCATTCCTTCTGAGGGAGGGCCACCAGACCCGAAATGTTAACTCTGATTTTTCTTCACAGATGCTGCCAGACCTGCTGAGCTTTCCCAGCAACTGTCGCACATCTCCTTCCTGTGAATATGAGCCCCACATCTCCACTGCTGGTGTTCTGACACACACCAAGGCCTGTTCAGCCATTACCCCTGAGCTCCCTGATCTTATGGAGCTTCCAGACTGGCAATACTTGCATTTTAACATTTTCAACTTAACTTTTCAAATCTCTACGCGGCCTCGGATTGTGTATTTCTGTAATCTCCTCCAGGCCCTGAGTCCTCTTGAAATAACATGCTCCTCTTATTCTGGCAAGTTCCCAATTTTTAATCATACCAACCCTCAGTCCCCTCTGTCGCTCAGCAATGGCAGCTGCATCTTTGGTTTTCCTGGGCCCTAAGCTCTGGAATTCCCTCCTTTAACCTCCCCTGCTCTCCTTGCTCTCTTAAAAACTCCCTGTTTGACCAAGCTGTCTTCATCCGACATAATATCGCCTTACATGCTGCCGGTGTTAAATTCTAACTTTATAATACTTCTGCCAAGTGCCTCAGAGGGTTTTATTATGCTAAAGATGCTATATGAATGTACATTGTTGTTGCCACTACAGCAGCCCACATCAGTGTTGGCTGGCGAGTGTTAGCTTTTCTATGCGTCAATTTCCCAAATGAATTGCAGTCCCCTTCAGAAAGCTACTTGAAGCTGACAGATATTATATTGTACGGGGGACAGCAGGAGTTTTCCATTAAAGGTCAGTTAAATTGGTGAGACTGCAGAATTCCAAATCTCCCTCATGGTAGCATTCCCCTGGAGAACAGCCTGGTGTAAGTGTAGCAGCACTTCATTCCCCATCACCCCAGTCTTTGATGTGGATTTTCTGAACGCAGCATCATTGTAGTTCGCTGGGATCTGGAGACGGCAGCTAAAACGTGAGCAACACCTGGAGCTCCTCATAGAATCCTGACAGCGTGGAATCAGGCCATTCAGCCCATCAAGTCCACACCAACCCTCCGAAGAGCGTCCCACCCAGACCCATCCCCCTATCCTATCCCTGCAACACTGCATTTCCCACGGCTAATCCACCTAACCTGCACATCTTTGGATTGTGGGAGGAACCCCAAGCAGACACGGGGAGAATGTGCAAACTCTGCACTGACAGTTGCCTGAGGGTGGAATTGAACCTGGGACCCTGTCGCTGTGAGGCAGCAGTGCTAACCACTGAGCCGCCCACAAATGTACAAGAGTAAAGGGGGCATATCATGTCGTTCAGCCAAGTGAAGGAGGGTATCAAGCGGCAACTGTCAGCATTGGGAGGATGGACTTACAGGAGGGAAGAAAAGTCTTGAAAAGCAAAAAAAAAAGCAATCTAAAGGCACTAATGAACTTATAAAATGTAGTGATTGCAAATGATGTTGAGATCCCTTAAGCTAAGCATCTGGTACCATTTTAAGTTAAGCAAAATGCAAATTGAGGTTTGTAAATCCCATTGATGGAATGAGGTCAGCTGTAGGCGTCAGTGTCCCTACATCACTGCTGCGATGAGAGAAACACTCAGTCGCCATAACAACACAACAAAACCAGTAGATACTCCTCCACTGTTGTTTCCTGCCTACCCAGTATCAGGAGTTACCTGTGCATGAGTGCTCCAGTCAGTGATTACTCCACAATTAGCAAGAATGGGGGCTGTTGCAGACAGAAGACCATCTTAAAGCAAGCCCAGGTTGTTTCCCCAGCCTGTCAATTCAGACTGGTGTAAGAAGGTGCACACAGTAGATGGCTAAAACACTGTCTTTTCCTGTGCCTCATGTTGAACTAGCAGAAGTTACCGGAGACTTGAGGGTGGAGGTAGAATAGAGGAGATGAGAACATGTTGCTTGCTTACCCAGTGGTGATCTGGAATGTGTTGCTTGAGAGTCCGGTGGAAGCAACTCCAACAGAAACTTTTAAAAGGAAATCAGACTAATATCTGAAGTGGAAAGAATGGCAGGACTGTGGGGAAAGGGTGATGGTGGGACTATTTCAATGGGACTTGGAAATTAGGAGCAGGAGTAGGTCATTTGGCCCATCGAGCCTGGTCCACCATTCGACGTGATCAAGCCTGATCCTCTCACCTCAACACCAGAATCCCTCCTCTCCCCATATCCCTCGATACCTTTAGCTCCTAGAAATTGAGCCATATTCAGTGAGTTGTCCTCCACAGCATTCTGTGGTCGAGACTTGCGCAGGTTCCGCACTCTTTGAGTGAAGAGATTTCTCCCCGTCTCAGTCCAAAATAGGCCTCACCCCTATCCTGAAACCCTGCCGCCTTGTTTTGGAGCTCCTGATCAGGGGCCTGCAAAGAAACAGCATGGGCATAATGGGCTGAATGGTCTCCTTCTGCACTTGTGGTTCTGTGTTACCTTGCATGCATGAAAATTGTGACGTAGAGGGTATGGAGTAAACGGTGGGCATAAAACACGTGCTGTTTTGCTGTTCCTCTGATTAACCTTTTGGGCCTTCTCGGCTCCGATCACTAAATCCTTCGCTTCCGATAGTTGGCAGGCAGTACACAGCTCCAGCTGTAACAACCACAGCTGCTGTTGGTCTGGCTGAGCAAGGTATGTGGCATTGAACAACCCATGTGAAAAGCAGCATGCAAACTGAGTGCTTTCACCTAACTCAGAATGACTGTCATTTAACCATCATTCATCATTGCTTCCCGAGGTATTTTTGAAAACAAAAAGGTACATGAATCTTTAAACCTGGGCGGGGAAATGTACTGGTCCCATTAAAAGCCTACAGCCGCATGCACGCACCCGCACATTAGCTTGTCTACTAGCTTTGGAAGCTCCTGCAATATTGGCATGCAAGCAGTTAACATGTTCATCTGCACTGCCATTGTCTGCATTATTAATGGGTGGCCATTAGACACAAGCCTGTTAATGTCAAGGCTGAAACGGCAGACGTGAGACTGGAGTTCTGAGGACTACTTCCTGGACCCCAAATCTTGGGCAGATGCTCCCTGACCTTCCAACTTCCAGCTTCTGTGGTATTTTCCTGTTTGTGTTAAGCAATTGCTTGCTAACATTGGACAAACCTATGGGAGCACTGTACTGGTGTGTGGGTTGCCTTTTCATGAAGAATACATTTCAGCCCCATCATTTTTCTTTTGACAACTTAAAAGCGAAGAGCCTGAAGTTGAACACAGTGGGGACAACAATTAGTTTGGCCCAGAGGAATTGCAATGAGTTAACACATGCACACAGCTGCATCTGTGTTATTTTCATTGGAGTCTTTGTAAAGTATTCTGAAAGAGTAACTGAAATTAATATTTCAAATGTTTAGATGTAGAGAAGCAATGCACTTGTGCACATTGCTAGGTTTCATCTTTCTATTAAAAGTTTAGTTCATCCCATCGTGAAAGATCCTTTAGTGTAAACTAGTCATAAAGGGCAGAAATTACAGAATTTGTACTTAAAAGGCAGGAGCTTACAAGAATCCATTCACAGAAGGGTGCATGGAACAAGTGGCTATTGAACCCAAATCAGTTCCAACATTTAATGAACTGAGGTGAAAAGTTGAAGGAAAAATAGTCAGGAAATAGAAGTGAAATAGGATGAAAAGTTGGCACAAAGGTATCTAAACACATATAAGACAGAGAAATCAGTGACCTAACATGTTTCCACTGTTCAAGCGCTATTCTGAATGTCAAAATACCAACATTTTATAAAATGTATAGCATAATTGAATTTGAAGATGTTTCTTCGCTCTGTAAGTCATTCCAATATTTTGGCGACTGGTTTTAGTTCATGGTGCTCAGAATACAAATCGGGCTTCAAATTGCAAGACCCATTAAAGACTGTTTCACGTGTTTTGAAACTGTTTTCAGCTTTTCAAAAGCGTGGCTCTGCCTTTCAATCCTAAAAAGCTGAAAACGATCAGTCATTTACTTATCATATTCAATAAGTTAAAGTTCTGAAGCACGTTTGCTGGTGAGAATCTATCTCAGGGGAACCAAATCGGAGAGACGAGGTCAAAGAGACATCTGTGCACAGGACTATAAAGGAGGGAACAAGTACACACTGTGGTGGAAAAAGGACAAGTCTAATTTCCAGAAAACAACTGTTTGGGTCCTCTGTCAAAAATCTGAACATGATTGTAAAATAATAAATGACTACGGTACAATGTTGCAGCTTTTAATTTTTGTTTTAAAATCCAGAATAGCCAGCCCATAATGATAGCTGAAAATTCAGGTAATTTAAAACCATAGCCATCATCTAATTAGAATCATTTTGGTTTGAGATCAGGTTCCAGGGACTTTGAACATTTCTGGTTCCACCTATACCCCTGTCCCAACCTTTTCATTGTGCCTCTGCTCCCTATTGTCTAAGTAGGTGTAAGGCATTCGCTTCTCTCTGTACCTTCTGTGCTTTGTTGAAGGATGATACTTATTAAATAGCCCAAAGATACTAATGTAAAAAATATTTTGAAAGGTATATATGATGTAGTTGTTAAATTGGGTTTTCCTGTTTCACATTTGTGTTGACTTTCTGCAGACAAGACAAAGAGTAAAGTAATTCACATTTTAGTCCACTTTATTAATAAGCTGAAGGTGTTGGGGAAGGTAGGAACAAATCCGACACATTTGTCATTGAGAAACTACTGGTGAACGCGATTGTGTTCTGGAGTATGTTTTACGATCATTGGAGGAAGCATAAAATACATCATTTCCAATCTTCTCATCTGCCACATTGACTGAGCTGAGCGTGCGCTGTCCCCATCTCATGTGATTAATGCTTCCCATCACCTCCGTGTGTGCATGAGGATTGGTTGCCTGCCTAACACGTTTCATCATGTTGGAGCCCTTTGTTAATGGGACTATTTCCCCAACAGCAGCGAAGCGTGTGACCTGTATTGGGACAGTGGCTGCAATTCATACCCATGTAGAGACATTTCACTCATAGGGCCACTCCATTTGGAATGTGGAATGTAATGCCAGACGGAGAATTGAAAAAGGAGCATGTCGATTCCCACTCAAAGTCTTGGTCCTTTATGGCAGGCCCTTAGGAAGCATGTTTAAAGTGGTACACTCACATCTCCTCCTCTCCAGTCTCACCTCCAGTAAAGGTGCACCTTGCTCTGTCCCTCTTTCCATGTCCATTTAATTTTCCATCTGTCAATGGCAATTTACCAATTTGATTTCAAATTTAATCCCTCGATGTGAGATTTTCTCTCATTGGTGCTCGCCTTTCACCCATTGCCCCATATTGTGTCCGATCACAGATTTTCCCATTGGATAAAGCAGTCTGTTCGGGCGATCAGAGCAGGTCAATTGGTGATAAGGGCTATGAATGTACCTGCGTTAGTGGTTCCTATGGACCTGCCTCATGCCATTCCCAAGAGCCGACACCAGACCACTGCATTTGGAATGAACTTGCTTTGAAAAACGAAGATCTAATACTAAATATTGCAATTCAAACATCATTCTTTCTCCTCTATATCTCTTCCTTTTTTTCCCTCACTGTGTAATTCACAAAAGGTAAGATTGAGACAGTAACTTCCATTACTTAACTAAATATGCTTGAACTTGCCCTTCAGTGGTTTGCTCTGCCATTGACAATTTCCTTGTTTTCAATCTTCAGAAAGCTATTAAATTCTCCCAAAATGACTCCTGTGCCAAATGGAATGATAGTCCGATTTGTCAGAAATAAATTAATCTTCACAGAAGCGAAGCAGTAATACGATAAACGCTTACAATGTTTTGTTTCATTTGATCTTACAGCAGCAAAGAATTTACTGAATAAGAAAACAGATGGTGTCAAGGTAGGTTTAAGGTTTTGTGTGTGTCTCTTTTCCTAAGGGGCTATTTCGTTCGGTTTAAAATCTGCCATTGTAAGTGAACAACACACAGAAAACACTCAGAATGGAATCAGAACTTGAAGCCGAGAGACCAGGTCTCATTTAATGTAGAAGAGTGTTTTCATTCTTCATGGCATCTCTGAAATTTTTCTCCGAGAGATAAATGGTTGTGTATTGAAATTGGCTCATTTATTGCCTCAGCCTGATTTAGCTGTACTATGGACCCAAGAGTTGCCTATTGCACACTTTCTGATCAGCCCTGTCTTTACCAGCCAACTTTCTTCATCTTTGTTTTGCAAAGAAAGCCTGACTAGAGGAGTACATCTTTTGTAGTTCTCCCTTCCATTCCCAATTCATCCACAACCTCTAGGTTATACTTGACTGCAGATTGAAATTACACTTGGAGCTGTGGCGAATGTGGGAGTTTGGAACTTGCAAAACTGTAACTTAGAGGATGAGGATTCATGAAGGCTGATCCATAAGACTAGCATCTTCAGTGAGAAGTCACATGACACCAGGTTATAGTCCGACAGGTTTATTTGAAATCACAAGCTTTCAAAGCGCTGCCCCTTTACCTGTTGGACTATAACCTGGTGTCATGTGACTTATGGCTTTGTCCACCCAAGTCTAACACCAGCACCTCCACATCAATCTTCAGTGAGGCCTTTTCACTGCAGCATTGTTCATGCGTGCAATGGGGGCTTAAACGTTTTTTGATTACAAAGACAACCCAACTACCTCTCTCCTCACCGCCCCCCCCCCCCCACCCCACCACAACCAGTTGAATGACCTTTACTACACATTCACTTTGTAATTATGCTCAATGCTTTCAGAATTGATTATTAGTTAGTGGGATGATGATGGAGCACTGTTCGAGTGCAAAATGATGGTTTGGATAATTGTGGATCTTTCTCGTCAAGTGTAATTAAGACTCTATAATAATTGTGCGTTTTTCTTTTACGCACTATGGATTATATAACGCTGAAACAAGAACATCTGGCAGTTAGTCTCATTAAGAAGGTAACTTTTAAAAGCCAACCTACATTTAGTCAGACAAGACCTCATTCAGTGATGGGCTTATGATCTCATTTGGAGGTCTCGCAGAATTGCAGGTTTGGAAAAGTTTCATTACATCATACTGCTGTGATATATTGGCAAATGTGTGGTCATTCATGTTATGTCTGAAGCAAAAAACAGATAGAATGTTCTGTTCAAATTGTGCACAGCCAGAAACAGTGGAAGCCCAAAGAGACATTGGAGTCCAGGAGTCCACTATTACTAAAATGTCAATAACAGTATCAGGATAAAATCTAGAGTGGAATGCTGACCTTTGTATTCCACTGCTGTGGATACAAGGGGGTAAAAGTCATGCTAACACAAAGCCCTGGTTAGACTACACCCGAGACACTGGGAACAGCTCTGGTCACTACGTTAATGAAGAATCTATTGGCCTCTAGGGAAGGGAGGTGCGTGTGAGAAGTATAGTGCAGACTTATGAAAATAAAGGTTAAGCAACAAATAGAGATTAAACAAAATAGGATTTCCTGGTGTATAGAAGGTTAAGGGGTAATTTGACCAAAATTTTAAAGGGAACAAATGGGGCAGGTAATGGGAACTTATTTCTGCCAGCTGGCATGTCTAGGACTAGGGAACATAATCAAAAAATAAGAGTCAGGAACTAAATCAGGAAGCACTTTGCACATGCAGGATGTAGAACTTTTGAATTCTCTTCTGCAGTCGGCATTACGATTGGCTAACAAGAATCTATCTGAGATATTAAGAATTATGGGGCATAGGCAGGTGTATGGAGTTACATCCCATATCAGCCACGATCTAATTGGATTGTGGAGTAGACTTTGTTGCGTAGGGAGTGGTGGGTGGAAGTGGTGTTAAAATGGTTGGTTTCTGTTGCTAGTGGGGGGAGGGGATAATGCACATTGACATAATTTACTGTGCATCTACCCAATCTGCACCCAAGCTGGGTGTCTTCAGTAAAAACAAAATACCGCGCTTGCTGGAAATCTGAAATAAGTCATAGAGTACTGGAGAAGCTCAGCAGGTTTGCAGCATCTGTGGAGAAAGAAACAGAGTTAATGTTTCGAGATCACAATAACTCCTCTTCATTCCTCAGATGTGGCTGGAACTGTTGAGTTCCTCCTGCATTTTTGCTATTTTTAAAATATTCTGGGGACATTGGTTCAAGTCCCACCATGTCAGATGGTGAAATTTGAATTCAGTAAAAATCTTGAAGAAAAATCTAGCCTATACTCAGCAGGTCAGACAGCACCTGCGAAGAGGGGAATAGAGTTAACATTTCAAACCTGAGATGACTCTTCCTCAGAACAGAATGCGTTGAATCCAGGCACTTGAGTGAAAGTGGGAATTATGCCATTCTATCCTTTGTTTTTGCACAAAAGCTGTCAAAAAGAATTATGTAGTAAGTATAAGCAGATTTGATAGAGCATCAGTCAAACCATTGAGCCAAAGCTACCTCCGCTGGGTAAAAAGAACTGCAGATACTGGAAATCAGAAACAGAAACAGAAATTGCAGGAAAGGTTCAGCAGGTTTAGCAGCATCTGCGGAGAGAAATCAGAGTTAACATTTGAAGTTCAGTGACCCTTCTTTAGAACTGATGGTAGCTAGGAAAACGTTGGCTTATATGCAGAAGATAGAGTGGTGGGAGGGGGGTAAGGAGTAAATGATAGGTGGAGATAGAGCCCAGAAAGAGAGAAAAACAGTTGGACAGACAAAGGAATGGACAACAATCAGTCTGGGAGAATTAATCCTTTATTCATTCATGGGATGAGTGTGTCACTGGCTAGGCAGCATTTATTGCCCATCCCTAATTGCCCAGAGGGCAGTTCAGAGTCAACTACATTTCTGTGGATCTGGAGTCACATGTAGGCCAGACCAGGTAAGGATGGCAGTTTCCTTCCCTAAAGGACATTAGTGAACCAGATGGGTTTTTCCTGACAATTGACAATGGATTCATCATCATTATTAGATTCATAATTCTAGATATTGTTTTTAATTGAATTCAAATTCCACATCTGCTGTGGCGGGATTTGAACCTGGGTCCCCGGATTAACAATCCAGCGATAATACCACTAGGCCATCGCCTCCCCGTATTAATATCTATTTGTAGACAATTAGTGGCTAACAATGGATGGTGTGTAATAGCAGATCATGTGATAATGAGGCCTGGTGTGTGGGGGTTTGGGTAAGGGTGTGGGTGATGGTGCCTCGAGCCTTAAAATTTTTGAACATGATATTGAGACCAGAAGGTTGTGGAAATCCCAAGCAGAAAATGAGAGGCTGTTCTTCCAGCTTGCCCTGAGCTTTGCTGGAGCACTGCAGCAAATCTGAGACAGAGATGTTGGCCAGGGAACACGATGGTGTGTTAAAATGCCAACTCGCCTCTGCCGGAAGTGTTTCTGGTCAAATCCCAGGGGAGGAGGCTGAGTGTTGATCAGACTACCATGAAGGACTGCTTCGGTCTGTTGTTTTTTTATCCTAGAGTCAGGAGGAAAGAGATGTCACAGTGATCCTCCGCATTCCTATTGATACATGCACAACACTAGCTGAGAGTGTTTGAGGATAGGTTCACCAGGCAGCTTCCCCATTGGAGGAAGATATACATTGCGGTACCTTTCACTGTAGATACAAATACAGTTCATCAATCCCCAAACTACAGAATAGAATAAGTACTGTTGAAAATGGGGTGTAAATATTCAATGTTAATTTCAGGTTTGTGATATCAAGGAATGTTTTAGAAATAAGTTCAGAAATACCTCAATTTTTTTCTGTTAACAATTCAGCAAAATTAATTAAAAGTTTTAAAATTACACCCTGGCATATTGGCAGGCAAATAATTTTAAGACTTCTTTTTGACCTGTTTTCACAAGAGGAATTAATCAATTTTAAATGAAATAAGTAGGATCACAAAGAGTAATTGCAAGGCTTTAGGTATCAACAACTGAATGTTAAGCAGGCTATTATCCTTGCATTTTTTTCAAAGCTTCTAAATTAAATAACATGCCGCTTTAACTCATGAAAGTAGAATGCCAGTTGGTTAAATGTAAAGATTTCATATTTTGTGTCAATCCACATTAGTAGCATGCCAAGTAAATTCTGTGTTTCCTGGGGAAGCGATGATTACTTACATGCTTTCCATTACATGTTCCCAATGCAGTGATTGCTCTGCATTCCCATTGTTTTGCTACTTTTGTTTTCTTTCTGGAATATTCTCTGTCACTTTTATGTTGTGGATCCATGCCAAGCAATGCATCTATAGAACCTTATTTTACAGATATTCAAATAAGCAGAATCTCTCTTTCACTTTCTGTTCACTACAAAGGATTTTGTCAGATGCAGAGAAACACATTCTGAGAAACAGGTTTCTATGTCTTTACTGCCCAGAGCCAGTAATCACCTCCCTGTATTTACACTCCACTCTTTGATTTCAGGATCCCGGCAAAACTGTAGTCCCCATCTCGCCAGTCCTTACGTTCAAAATCTCCTGTGGCCCTCCCTCTCCCTATCTCTGTAACATCCTCTCATATGTCAGTACTCCGAGATCTTTATGCCCCTTTGATCCGCCCTCTTTCTGGGTCTTCAATTTTCATTGCTGCACCAGTGGCAACGTTGTCTTCTACTATCTCTGGCCCTAAACTTGGAAATTGCCTTTGTAAAACTCTCTGTTTCTCCGTTGAAATCTACCGGATGAGCTACACTTTTGTCCTGTATCTCCGTGGCTCTCTGTCAATTTATGTCCAATCATAAGTGGCTTGGGCTATTTTTGCTACATTGAAGGTGCTCTGTAAATGCACGTAGTTGTTGTTGTTTCTGACAATTGAGCAACTTACAAAGTCAATTCAGAGTTCATCAAAAGTCACCCACTCAGTATGTGGCGAGAGCCATATTTGGCCAGACTGAAGAACACTGTTGAACCACTTTGGAATTT